TTAATTATGTATATCTTTATGAATATTATTTTATTAATATCATCTAGAACTAATTCTTTAATATAATTTTATAAATTATTATTCTAGACTATTTTAACAACTACAAAACTAATCCAGTAATATGAATATAATTTAAAATATTTATTGTAATTCATATCTTATAAGCCTATCATCCTAGACTACTTTGGTAACTAATGATTAGATAAAACTTAGGGATGTGAGTTACAAATAATATTTACTAATTTTTTTCAATCTAATATATATTAAAATAATTTAATAATAATAAAATAATAATCATAATAATTATTGAATATTAATCAACATAAAGAAAAACTCATATAATAATTATATTCATAATAAATCATAAATGATATCTTTATGTATAAATAAATATTATGTTATAATTTCAAACATATGCATGTCAATAACTAAACAAATATCCAAAAATAATAACTAGATTTTTATTTATCAAACATAAGTATTTTATCAATATGTCATATAAGAAACTATAAAAAAATTATAATTTATATTTTCTAAAATTTCACATATAACCATAAATTAGATTAATCAATTCTATTTAATTGGGGAGGATTAGAATTGGGCTAAACATCAACTCAACTAAATCAATCAAAAATTAAATTTGACCAAAATCAAGATATCATCAAATTTTAAAATTTTCAAATTCGATTAAAGCTTTATTGATTGAGTCTAAATCCAATCAAGTAGTCAAAATATAACCATGATTAAGTTTGATCAAAATAAATTAAATTAGTCAATTTATAATTAAGATAATAAGTTAAATTTTTAATTTTTAAGTGGTAAAATTATAATTTTAAGTCAAATATATAATGAAAATATCTTATTTTTGATGGGCATAACTAAAAAGTAAATTTAAGTACATAGGTTATAATTATTTAATTTTTAGAGAAAAAAAATATCTTTTAAAAAACTCTAAGTCCTCACTTGCAACTATCATCACTACATACCACTACACCCATGAGTGTAGGTCGGCGGCATAGTTGTTGTCCATTGCCTACGCACCACCTATGGTGGTGCGGCTTTTCTCAAGTGGTCGACCCATGACCTCACTGGTCGTCGACCCATGCCGTTGCATTCCTCACTGGTGGAATGCCTCTGTGGTGCGTTGCTATTCAAGCATCTTCGACAAATCGTCCCACCATGCAATCATGCATATGCGCTAACCACCAACCCCCACGGTTGCCATAGTGCGCAATTGTGCCTATATGTCCACCACGTAGATGCTGAGAATTATGGCCTTCAACATCCAGTCAACATCGGTTGCGACCAACAAATGCCACAATGGCATTATTGTAGCTAATGGGAAACCTGAACAAAACATCATATATGCAATAGAAAAATAAAAAAATAAAATCTCAGATTTCCTAAACAAAGGGTTCTCATCATCATGTGGAGATTGATGAGTAAAACAAGACGCAAAATCAAAACCCCATGTATCAAGTAAGATTTATTACCTAGGGAGATCATATATCCCTATAAAATCCCATATCTATAGGAGTGGATGAAGGAAATCAACTATCCTCCTATCTAGTGGTAATCGTAGATACGACGAAGATGCTCCTCAAATTGTAACATGATCGTCCTCTCCATGCATACCACGTGATCAAGAAAGGATCGACCCTTTTTACTATCACACACCTCAAATTAGGATTATCGGTTGAGAGGGAGGGAGGAGAATGAGGTAGCAACAAAAAAAGATCTAGCCTATGCTCATTTAGTTCCCTCTTATTTATAGATATCCCTATCAACTTAACCCTAATGGATTCTGCCATATTGGGTATTGAATCTCTATCCAACTACCCAAGCCTCTTAGGTTAGTGGATCTCTACCAAATAATTTTGGGGCTTATTCAATATCCAATAATTTAGGGGCTTATTCGATATCCAATAAACTAGGGGTTCCAATGGATATCTTATATCTGAATCTTTACTCATTACAACACCTACCATATGTGTATGATCCTCTAGGCCCAATATCGAGCTGGCTATGAGTCATGCCTATCAAAAAATTTTCTAACTCAGTGAATTATGATCTCTTATAATAATTCACTTTCTCATCGACTACGGACATACTAGACCACTACGCCGTAGTCCCTAGATGATACAAGGGAATTCGATCCATTGGATCTGTTTGTCCTCAGTTACCATATTTTTATAGTCTCTCATCCATCTAATATCTCAAAGACTATATATTGGGTATGGTGCTATTAGGCCCATGTGGAATCTACTCGAGTCTAATTGGATTTTTTTGGAGAACTCTGTCTCTCTCAATCCAAAAGACCCTAGCTTAGGGATTTGTCTGAGTAAGAACACATAGAATATTCCTCTCATGACACTGAGAGCGAATGATCCTCTATCAACACTCAATTGCCCTCATAAAGTTAGCGACCACTCCTAATGATCGGTTGTGCTAGATCTAGAATCTCTAGATCTATAAGTCCGGTATCAAAGAGCGGAGTACTCATATAAGGCATCCTTAGCGTTTCAAGTCTAAGGACTAGACACACAACTAGGATCACACAATTGCTATTTGATAATGAAGTATCATTAACCGTTCAGCATTCCATGAGTAGATCAATCAGTAAACTCATTCTCCAATGAGCACTTGCATTATATTCCTAGTGTCCCCACACGAGCAGCTATATGACCAATCGCCTCCATCATATAAATGAGTATGCATCACACTAGTCTGTTCGGTTATCACGATGTCCCTCTCAAGCAACTTATGATCGGGTTTATTTAATGTCTATGTTTAAAGACGAATCAGTCTCATTATCGTGATCTCATTATGATCTGATTCTCATTATACAGATCCATGGACATCACAATATATACAACATGCAATGTAAAGTGAGAAAATATCAATAATAATAATAAATAAAAAGATTATGTAGCATGTCATATGTGCTTGCAGGGCACTTATGACTAGCAGTAGCCGTCGCAGGCATCAACGCTATTGCAACCGCACGTAGCGATGTTGTTATAGTCGCAAACCGCTACACGCAGCGGCGCTACTATAGTCACCTGTGACTAAGGTAGGCCAATCATCATAAGGCTATTGTATACAAGAAGTTATGCATGCAATCGTCGTTGATTATCGCACCCCATGGTGCTTCCATTACGTACGTAGTCATTGCTCGCGATTGGGCTAGCGACCACCGGAGGTCGTCACCCTAAACAATTCTATTGCCAACAACAAGTTGTTAATAATGATCCATCGATCAAATACGAGGAACCTCGCATCGCCTACAAGTAGGCTATAGCATCGATTAGATAGAAAAACTGAACGATAACATAAATAGATTGTTTAAGCATTATAAATTAAAATCAAACAACACTTTTTTGTAAGTGAATGATGCTAATAAACAAATCTTAATATAAAATAGATCTAAAATACCTTGATAATTTAAATATTTGATTTTAAAACATAGCTTTGATATTAATTATAAGCATAAAAACTGTAATATACTACTGTTATGTAAAAAACTTTAATAATAAAAATTAAAATCAAATAATAATAGATCAAATATACGATACGTATCTTTCGATGATACTCAAAAAGCCTTTATTTGATCTATAAGCAGGTCATCGTCAGATTAGAAAGCTATAGTAATATTGATCTATAAGAAAAGTTAGACTCGTATTCTTCTCTCTTTTTGTCTCTCATAGAACCATTATAAGTGATGGATTATGGATGAAGAAGAGATGAGAGAAGATCCGTAATCTTTCACTAACTGATTATTTTGTCACTAGAAGGTCTTATCCTAGAATAAGGAATCTACGATAAGTAATAAAGAAAATCCTAGAATAAACTTCTGGCGAAGCCAGAAGTTTTACCGTGGGAGAGGCAGAGGAAGGCGGCAAACCATGCTCGTAAAAATCCTTAATTGAAAAATACATGCATAATCTCAGTTGTGACATTATTTATTGAATTATTTTAAGGAATGAATAGATAAATATAAGCAAGCTCTGATTTTGGAATGAAAAGCAAATAACTAAGCTGAGAAGAAATAAAATGCAGTACTTACAGAGATTTGAATCTGACCAACATTATTTAAGGAAACACATGAAAGATTTGAAGAAAATAATGCAGTTTACCATGACACGAGAGAGAGATTCTAAACAATATTAACTTTATTTAAATCCATTTAGAATTCTAACACTAGGAGAGATCAAATAGTGTTTAGCATGATTTGGCATGTTGATGATAAGAAGAAGAAAGTAGAGAGGGAGTTGATTTCATTTTAAATATATTATAAACTTCATTTTTGAATATTTCTTTTTTTTACTCAAAGAATGGTATAACATTAGGAGGAAGAATTTAATATCTAGTATGTCATGAAATCTTTATGTTTACTATTGTTGTGGTGTTGACTTTATTTTTTTTGCCTTTCTTCATTTGTTATGAATGTGAAATCCTTTGAAATTTCATGATAAAAAGGCACATCAAGTGTTTGCGCTTTTGTTTTATATTTTTCAGCACACACATATTTCTTGGTATCTTTTTAATGCTTGTTGGCTGCAACATACAGTTGCTTTATAATTTGTTTAATTTGATCATGGGTGTTCATCGTAAACCATTTTATTTTGGATATTATTAAGTATTTTTGTAAGATTATAGTCATTGGACGAAAAGCCAAGCAAAGAATTTCAAGAGGAGCATTGCATCCGCATCGATGTTGAAAGAGGAATGATCGTTCGTTCTCTCTCTCTCTCTCTCTGATCAGACAAGAGCCACAAAGAAAGGATGATGAAGTTTTGACTCGCCCTTGGGTCAACTATACAAGAAGAAGCGAACAACTGAATTCATCATACCGAATGACGACACTAAAGAGTCCATAAAATACTTGCATCAGCAGCAATTCCCAAATTAATGGAGAGATTAAACGTATAAGAACCATAACAATCAGCCCTTCAAGCTTATTATTATATGTATAACAATACATGCTTAAAAACATGGTATTCCGAGCAATTCCGCAAGAGCTAATTTTGAGGCATTCACAGCCAATTTAATTGGTGGCCAATATTAGTAGTACAGTTCAATGAAATGAATTGAAGGAGACAATCGGTTCATTCCATGTCTGAAGATTACAAACCCATGCCCTGATGTCTACATGTACTCACTATTTGAAATCCCTAATATGCTACATTTGCCACATCCAATAAAGTACCCGAGTAAGAGGGCCCTAAGCTTTTCAATCATGAGGTGTAAGATTCCTTCCCTTTTCCTTTCTCTTGCTACAGTGAGATGTCAAGCGGACAAGCATAAATTGATGTGAAGACTTGTGCCATGCCCTTCTCATTGAAACCCCATCCCAAAGTTAGGAGCCCAGAAATCGGCTCCGTTGTCATTCCCAACATGCAATGTGAAGGACACAGGCACCAGGCACAGTCCTCTACTCCTCAGGTCCTTGGGCTCATCCTCATCTTCATCACCATCACCACCACCACCATCATCCTGTTGATATGAATGATATGCAATAACATGTGAAAGAAAGACCATCATTTGCAATTAATCATAACCCTTTAACGACAGGGCAAAAAGCTACTTTGAGTCACCTAATTAACATCACGATGTACCTGATCAGCTGGTGGACCTCTTCTCTTCATGCAGCTATCAGCACTCAACAGCTGTTCAAAGGAACAGGATAAATTGGATTTAATCATGGGTTTGATATCTCCTAAATCTGTCAATAAATAGCTAATCATGTTGAAGGCTGTAAAGTTGCAGCTTTATTCTTCTTTCGACGCTCTCTTTAAAGGAGGAAAAGAACATGAAGCAGGAGGTAGCCACATGTACCTGTACTCCAGGGTCTTCCACAAATATACTACTACTCTCTCCTTTACCCTGGAAGATAAGCATCCCACTGTTAAGCTCACATGATAAGTAGTAGAATCTCCATGCATGCATGCATGTGCAGGAGAGCTCATGAAACTTGCTGTTGTCTGCTTATGCTTCAGCCCTAATTAACGGAAGAGGTAAAGTGTTGGGAGCAGTGAAGGAATGGGGCATTTTGGATACTTACGCACTGCCTCGTGCTCCTTGATCTGCTGCCCAGGTACGGGGAGCTCAGAGCCTGCATGAAGCAAAAGGGTTGGGAATCGGGTGAAGAGGTATTAATCTCTGAAACACATGACGACGCAAGACAACAATAACTAAAGGATGGTTTGGCCATTGCATCAGCTTTTATCGCACGCGCGACCTCATCCATACCCAAAGATCTGTGCTTTTTGTTCATGAGAGAGAGAGAGAGAGAGAGATTGGACCTCAATTTGACCCTGGAGGAATCTGATGTAGCCAATGGCTTCTAACAGTACAGACGCAGTGTCAGTCTGCAAAAGGGAGCCATGTCAGGGCTTCTTTATTTGATGACCAGGAAGAATGACTGAGAGAGAGAGAGAGAGAGAGAGAGAGAGAGAGAGACAGAGAGCCATGCGCAGCAGAAGCAACACTTGCAGCCGGCTAGTGAGTGACCTCTCGCATCTAGATCTAGTGCACATAGCCTGGTAGTAGTACCTTTCCGAATGGAGAAACTAGCTGATGTAGAGCTGCTATCCTATCTCCTAACTTCTCCTTCCTAACCTGGGAAGAAACACACATAAACCATCGTCAAATGCTTTCTCTCACTTGCTACATCTATAAATTATCTTTTCTATCGAGCGAGAGGGCAACTATTATGTAAGTATGGAGATAAAAACCTTGAGAGATGACTGTGCTGAGGAGGTCTGAACTCTAGCCTTCTTCAAAGCTGCACCACTGTTGCTGTTGCACTTGGCAAAGGAAGAAAGGAAAGTAAGACGTTGCACACCATAGAGTAAGAGTATCTGCAACAAATATTGGCTATAACGAGAACTTATATGGATCTGAAGAACACCAAATATAAGATTTTTTCTCTTCTTTGAATCGTTGAGTTGCCTTTTTGAAGAGCAAGATTATAACCGATAAGAACATGTACAACAACGAAACCCTTTCTTTGCGTTCCTTACCTCGGACGAAAGGTCAGATTTGTGATGCTTTCTCTGCGACTTGCAGTTGGAGAAGTCCAAGATGTTGTTGCTGAAGCTTGTCGTGACACAAGACCTGGGAGAGGATGCTGGCACCATCTGACTCCATGAAGACCTACCCCCCTGAGCTCCTTGCTCTTTGCCATGGTAATAGGCATGGTGTCCGACCTCAGAGCCCTCTTGTTTGATATCAACCATGTGGGCATTCGCTGGTGTGTATGGCAGTTGGTACTCCCAGTTCTCCATCCTCTTCACTGGGAAATTACCAGTGTGGCTGCGCCCCTCCTCTTCCTCCTCCAATCCCCCCCTGTAAATTGTATTCCCACCATGCATGGGATATCAGAACAGATCTTATATTAGCAACAGTGAAGAGAGGGAGAGCGAGAGAGAGAGAGAGAGAGAGAGAGAGAGAGAGAGAGAGAGAGAGAGAGAGAGAGAGAGAGAGAGAGAGAG